CCCCGAGGCCAGCAAGGAGGGACGTTGACTTTGCTTCCTCCTCGCAGAGTTCCGTCAGTTGGATGCCGGGATGCCGACCGTCCTCCGGGTGGACAACAAGTCGGCCATCACGGTCGCCGAGGGCATGGGGTTGACGGGCAACCTCAAGCACATGGAGCGGCGACAGGCCTGGCTGCAGCACATGGTGAGGCACGGGAAGTTCTCGCTGAGGTACATCCCGACCACCGAGCAGCCGGCTGACTTCCTGATGAAGGCGCTGCACTATCTGCACTATCCCGGTGCTCCGTCGCCATCGCCAGGTGCGCTTGGCTGACGTAGGCGACGAAGTTGACGACGTGCAGCAGTAGGTGCCATGCCCCCTTGCATGGCTGGTGCGGTGAACGACGTGCTGTGTGTTGGGAGCACGTCGACGAGCTATTCTCCGAGGAGTACTGCCGTGTGGGCTTGGGGGGCCCAAGCGTGAACGTGGCAGGGGAGTGTCAACGGGAGTTGTGTGTTGGCCCCGTCCTCGCTTGGGCGGAGCCTCCTTCGTGGTCGGGTGTGAGGGGAGCAGCCGACCTACAGCAGTGGGTGAGCTGGTTGACGAGGAGGTCGACCTGCACGGGGACCACTGCACTGGCGCCGACTTCAGGGTGGCGCCGACTTCAGGGAGGTCGACCTGGGAAGTCGACGTGCGGAAGACGTCGACTTGGCGACGTCAAGTTGGGGCAGCCGACTTGGATGGTCGGCTGACGGACTGCTGGTCGACCTCGTGGTTGGTCGACCAGGCTTGCTGGTCAACCTACTGGTGGTCGACCTGACCTGGTGGTCGACGGAGGAGGGGCCGACGTTGACCCCGACTCAGGACGCCGAGCAGCTGGGCGTCGAGGAGCTGGTCAACCAGGACTGCTGATCGACGTGGAGCTGGTCGACCAGAAGTGACGTCGACCTAGAGCTGGTCGACCAGGGGCGTGGTCAACCTGGTGAGGTCGACTTGGAGGTGGCCGTCGACTTGGGAGGTCGACGGGCACGTACGGGAGCAGCTGGTCGACGTGGTTCCCCGGTCGACCAAGTTACCTGGATGACGAGGTTCTGGGAAGGAGTGCGACGGTCGCCCAGGCGAAGTTGGTGAGCCCGACCTCGGTGGTGGTATCCCGAGGTCGACGTGGCTGATCAGAAGCAGTCATCAACGCAAGGTTGACTTGGTGTGTGCGTTGTGCAGGTGACGAGACTCAGCCCGCCAATCATCTGCGAGCACCTGCGAAGCGGGTGCACTGCTGTTCTGCGTGAGCAGCGCTGGCACGCCGTCAACCTGCGACGTTGGCACGCCGTCGACTTTGCACTGCTGGAGCGCGGTCGACCAAGTCGTGCTGGAACGCGGTCGATTATGCTGCGCTGGCAGTCGACCGACCTGAATGCTAGCTCTGATGTAGTCTTGCCATGCCAACTTCATTGTACCATTGTTGTCAACTTTCTCTAGTGAACTCTTGCCAAATTACCCCGTGAACTAGCAAGCAGTGTGTGCACTAGGAAAACGACTAAGGACCAACGAACGCAGAGATCACACGAGCACCCGTGCCTAGCCCGTAGTCTAGCTCCCGTTGTAGTAGTTATCTCCGCATGCATGGTGTGGTGAGCGTGGACGGCCTCGCAATGAACCTTCAGACTAGTAGACGATTGATTATTTACCTAAGTCGTTCGTAGGCCGGCAGCCGTCTTAGTTGCCATGGTAGGCCAAGAGGCTGGAGCAGGCGTAGCATATACCCTGCAGGCGAGGGAGGCTAATGCGAGGAGATGCCACGAAGCTGGCGAGTTCGGGCCGGTTCTCCCGTTGGAGGTGGTTCTCCTAGGGTCCGCGCGCAGTGGGTGGCGGAACATCCTTCCCGCCCTGCTTCTCCTTGGCCGGTGCAAAGCGAAGGTGATGTCGACGGCGGTGATCAGGTCAGCAACAGTGAGGGCACGAGGAAGATTGGAGCAATCAGGTCCGTCGATGGTGGTGTCATCGGGAATCAGGCACGAGTGCAGCGGTCGACGGCGGCCATAGGCAGCTTATGTGTCAACGTTGACGAGCGACACCGCTCTCCCCAGTGAAGCAGTGGGAGGCCCATGTCGACAACGCATGTGATGGTGGTCCGGGTCGCTCCAGCATGGCTACTTTGAATTCACACCGGACAAGATCGTCGTGCCTCTGCCGTTGCAAGGTCGGTGGGACCTCATCATGTGGAGGGAATGTATCGAGCCTGAGCTGGAAATGGCAAGTCACTTTTCATTGGTTTTGCCAAGAGAGCAAGAGAGAAAGGGGACTTAGCCTCTTCCCGCCTAGCCTCTTCCCGCTCTTCCACAACTATAAAATGGCCTCCCGGCCTCTCCTGTAGCTCATTCTTCATTTGGTTCTTCCAAATCAATGAAGGATTGCTCCCTCTTCACCAATTTCCAATATTGAAGAACCAGCCTTGCGCGACATGAATTTGCTTCCGACGTGGCACAACATCAAGCCACGTCACACCGAAATTTCACGAAATCTCTACTTTGTTGAGCATTTCTCTAGCGCGCCAAAAACGTATGGCAATATGATAACTGACTCGATTGAACATTGTTCACAAGTTTCATTTCAGACCAACATCAAGTGGAAGTGTTTTAGGGCAGCAGGGTTGCAATGCTAGCTTTGCCGCGGGCCACATCACCCATGTGATTTAACTTGCACTTCGCGAGTCACCAAAATTGTGATTTAGAAGTCCGCTTAAGCCTGAATTTAGATGATTTTTGGAAGTCTAATACCTATGAGGTTGATCTTGTAAGGGGCCATAGAAACTTACTCATAAGCATACTGTATCTCCTTGCTTAGACGGAACGCAATACCGTGGGTTTTCTATACTAGGGTGGTTACAATGTAGGATCATCAAACTATGGCCCATTTTCCTACAAAAGTACCCCTAATGCATGTCAACAAAAACAACTAAATATTTAACCCCCATTGAAACACAAACTACCTGACTAGGGAACACAAAGAAACTCCAGACCTACAGTTCCCGAGCATATCTTTCCATTGTATTCATTGAAATTTCTGACCGGTCCTGTCTTAGCTCCACCATTGAAGTTGAAAGCTCCCCCACATGTCAGAGATGGTGACACAGGCTTGACCCTACCCTTCTTGCAGCTGTGAGCATTCAGGGACCCGTAGTCTGCCATGAGGCACACCTGGGATAGAAGTTGCATGCATAGTGTGGACAAAAGAACAAAAGTTGAAAAGCAAGAAAAGAAGTGGCATGCAAATACACATCGCATTGCTATAACCCAAATGCCCTTGTTCTCCAAACCTCATCTGCACGCTATTACCACTCGCAACAGTGGCGCTGAATGGAGGAACTGTGCGGGGACAGATGAGGCCAGGATTGTTGCAGTAGAGCTCAACCCAGCTAGCTGCAGTCACCACTACCAGCCCATCAGGTTTCTCCTTACTAGACTCCAAGGCCTGCTGCAGAAGGCCCTCGCATGTGTCCTGTGCTGTGAGCATGCCGTACTGCAAGCACTTAGGGGTGGTGAACGCAAAAGTGGCATTGCGCTCGAGGCACAGAGAGTGGCTTACCTTGATGGCCACGGAACAGTCGAAGCGGGGGATTGAGAGAGATAAGATCAGTCGATGAGATTCCAAGCTGGGTGCTGATAGACGAGCAGCTGTCACCCTGGAGGAGACAGAGGGCGAGAGAGAGCGAAGGAGTGCTTGTTGAAGGGAAACGGTGCACTGAGACAGGATTTTCTAGGAAAACAATTGACGCTGTTCATTGCAGGTGGGTTCTGTGGTGTTGGTCAGAGATGGGTGGTAGAAGGGTGGCCTTTCTTGCATAGTTTTGGACGGATACGTGTTCTTTGAGGGGGAAAAAAAAAAAACACAACAACAACACAGCTTTAACTCACTGAATCGCCGTTTACAAATGACGACTCACATTGATTGTATAGAAGAAGGCAGTGCAGGGAGTTGTGGTAGTGCTGCCCAACTGAATCACCTTGCCTTTAGGCAATGGTTGGCTGCAATCGACGGCCTGCAATACATAGGAGGGGCTCCTTGTTCTATGCAAATGTATGCTACTATCCATGCGTGCGTCCTATGAATGAGCATATGCTGGAACTGGCTGGGGTTGTCCCCAGAATATGAGAAAGTTGGGCCACGGCGTGAGAAATAAGGATATACTACTTGTGGCCCGACCAATGAGGAAAGGCCACTTCTAGCCACCCTATTCGTGACTCTGAGAAGGCCTGAGGACAACTGAGGGACAGCTGACATCCAATTGGATGGCTAGGATAGTAGGCAGGTGGAGAGACCTAAACAATGGGTTGCTAGAGCAGGAAGTAGAGCGAAAACATCAAATTTCATGAAGGAGAGGGACACCCCAGGACCACAGGGCTTGGCCTGGGGCTGGCCCACCATGGTCCAAACAGTCAGTAAAGTTGGCCAAGCCCATTAGGAACCAGGGCTAGCTTTAGCTAGGCCGGATCCTGGCCTGGCTCACGTTTACGTCTACCTTCTACGTCTCCATATTCAACCTCCTATTACCATATCCATTTCCCTGCAGGGCAAAATGTTTTTTTTTTTTTTTTTTTTATGGCATGCCCATGCAAGAAGATGTATGTTTTTGGAAATCTACTTTACATATAGAGGATGGTACCTGTGTATCGACTGTTCCCCAGAGCGCTGGATAATTTTTCCAACAAAGGCAAATCCATATACTACGGTGAAATGGTCAGCTATTTCTCATCACAGTTAGCTTTGGGAGGTTAGCGAAGGAAAGGCCGGTCGTAGGAAGGACGTCAGAGCACCACCAGTTAGCACCAGTGACCGTCAAAGTAGTTGCTGTGGTGTTGGTTGGAGTGAGAAAAGGAGACACACACGAATTAGATGGTGCCAAGAAGGTGCACATGAGCTTATCTGAAGCTTGGTGATGCTACACTGAACGATTGTTGATATGTACAATCCCTCTAAATTGTCCATCTTGCTGGGATAGCAACCAACCTATAATACTCTATCAAATGTACTGATCAGTCAAGAGGGCCATATGAGTGATTGAGGCTAGATTGGCGGTACAAGGATCACAGGTGGAGGAGTTGTCAACTGTCGTGCTCTTAATGTAGTTGGGAGGGCAGATGCAGGAGTAGGCGCCCTTGCCATCATTCACGCACGTGCCCACACCGCAGGGTTCATCGCGTAAGAACTGCACACGTCAACTGTTGAGTTGATGACAGGGGGTGAACATGGGTGGTGAAAGATGCGATGTAAGAGATGCTGACAGAAAAGGTGGACTTGCAGAAACATGCCATGGGTGCATCTGCATCTACGAAAACCTCCAAATGGTTGCTTTCAGTGGAATTGTTTGGTCATAAATATGACTCACCATATGCGCATGTGTGGGTGCCCAATCCGTTTGCCACCGCAACAAAGGGCTGTATGGACTGGTTAGGTATGGTGCAGTTGCAAGTGTTTCTCTTGGTCTTTGTGTTTGGCTTACATCTGAAGTGACCGCACGGGTTCATGCTTGGCTGCAGGTCCCCGACGCCCTTGTAGCTCCTTTGGCCGCAAAGATCGTTAGAATGGCAGACGTGGATTTCTCTGAGAAGTGTGAACGTGCCTCTAACTTTGTTACCTAGCACAATTATGCATCCTTGCTTGATAATAGATGCAGGCTTCACTCTGAACAACAACGAATTCCCTCACTCATGACAACGGGGTAGAGACCTCACTTTGGACAATGGGGTAGATGCCAGGCAGCACGTTGATGCCACACACGCCATCCCCTCCCTGAATGTCCATGCGCATGTGGCCCCTGTCGCCCCACTCCACTCCCCACGAATTGCAGACGATGCAAAACAGTGGAACGCTGAGGCTATCACTACCAACATTTGTTGAAATAAGGTACCCAACAACGACTATAGCATGGTTCAGGTTGCCAGTGTAGCAGCCCGAATCTTGGTACTTGAAACTCTGGGCAAGAATGTGATATAGATGAAAAATAATGTTATAAAAACAGCAACATTATGCATTAGGCCACAAGCATTAGTTTCATCATGTAAGATCCATGAGAATCAGAGCTCTCATATGTCATACATGTTCGTGAACAGTTAACACTCCCATATGGCATCCATGCCTCCACTGGATGGCTGTAAAGATTTTCAAACCACATGATCACACACATCACATAATAACGTGATCCGCACTTACCCCATCATATTGTACAAATGTGGAGGCAGAGGCTTTGATATGAACCACCACTGTCTGCCGCCGCACTGCCAGCATGAGCCCCATATACCCCTTGAACCGTGTGCGTTCAACACCCCGGATGGGGAACCTTGATATCTGCAGGTCAGAGCAAAGAGATAGGTGGGAGATAACCAAAGTGATCAAACCATCAATAAGAACTTGGATTAGGTTTATATTACAGACAAGATGATATGGAAGAAAAGAGACAAGAAGGATCGAAAAAAATGAAGTGATACAATATGGCTTTCGGACTTGACCACGTGGTAGAGTGAGGAGCTTTTCAAAGGCCGCAGCAAGGGAGTTCCCTCTGGTGCACTTGGCAGCAGGGGAGGTGAGCCCCATGGCTGCAAAGAGCGAGTCCAATGACAGCCGTGGTTCAGCCCAATGCCATATGCCGCCTCCAAACTTGCCACCATTGCATATGCCCAACTCGCATTTGGAAAAAGGTAGTGTTTTGAAGGATGAAGATAGGGAAAAAAAAACTACTAATAGTACTTAAAAATCACAACACACCACAGCCTCTGTGTGTGGAAAAGTCTAACTTCCCTTGTACCCGCTATTCATTCTAACCATGCCCACTCACTGCAGCTCTTCTGGTTCTTCACAGGCCAGCCAAGGAAGGACATGGAGTCCCAGGAGTGGGAGCTACTGATGTGCCATTCATTGGGCTCGTTGGACGACACTTGGTAGTCCGCACTCATGTAGCGCATGAAGGGGTTGGCCCCTACTGGCGCATATGACGCCACAAAGATGCGCAGGCCTAAGGCTGAGATGGGCAAGGTGGGTTAAGGGCAGAGGAAGGAGTTGTTGAAATGGGAAGGGATGGGTTGTACATGTTGCTTACAGAAATACCTTTTCTCTAATTCAATCTGCCGATTTAAGGTTATGATTAAGGTATTGTAACTGCAGCTGAATGGAGCGGCGAGTCTGGTACAACCGAGGTGAAGTATAGGCTGCTCTTGACCAATGGGAGCGGCTGGTGGTGTTCAAGGAGCAAGTCCGACTTTTTTTTGTTTTTGAGTGAGCTGTCTTGGAGGTTCTGATTGGCTGCCGTTTGAAATGGCAGTTGCTCATGAGTTCGAGCGAGCAGCTGCTCGCGCTGCCACTGTTTGAGGAGCGAGATTGGTCCTTGCTAGTGCAACATGTTCGTTAGCGTGTTCGTGAGCGTGTTATTAGTGTGTTCGTTAGCGTGTTCGTGAGTGTGTTCATTAGCGTGTTAATTAGCGTGTTCATTAGCGTGTTAATTAGCGTGCTCGGTAGCGCGAGCACTATATGCTCGCGAATCGTTCTTCAGCGCAGGAGGGTAGATCATCGAGATCTCGAGTAGGTTCGGTTGCTCATGTTTATTAGCAAAACTGACAGTTCGGATCAAAAGTGAGTTCGGAGCGAGGGCACGTGGCGAGCAGCAGTTGAGCGATCGAACGCAATGCTGATCGCCACCGACATTTCGACTCGTTCAGGTTTTAAACGGACTTCATTGCAACCGTTCGAGATTGGCGCGAAGTGAAATTATCAGATCAGCACCGTCAACAATGTTCTCGCGCGAAAGACGAAATATTTCGGTGTCGCATCGAGTGCGCGCCAGGTCACGAAGAGAATGGGAGGGAACCTGAAAATCTGCTCGCGCTACGAGGTGTGAATTTGGAACACCTAGATCAAGGTAGGAGTAGAATGATTTAGCTTAGTATAAAACTGGTTGTTCTTGTTGTTCCAAGATATAAGGATTTCTTCTGTGCCTGCTGCAAGTACGCTGCTATAGTTAATTCTCTTGACAACGCCAAGGAATCGACGACTGCTACTACACTTTAGTTGTTGCTACGACTCTCTCTCTCTACACACTCGGACCCTTGGATAGGGGCTGACCTTGGTCAGGCACCCAAGAACCCTCGGAGGTGACCCCGAGGAGAGAGTTCTAGTGCCACCTAAAGCTTGTTAGTAGCTAGCTTAGTACGTTTTAAGACTAACAGTACATACACGTGCTCAATCTAATCGGTACATTGGAGAGAAAGATTGGGGAACAGAGTGCATGAATGATGTGTAACATACAGACACTAGGGTTCTTAGAAGAGGAACACGGAGGGAGAGATTAATGGACAACGAGTAGTTTGTTTGTCGTTGATGCAATGGAAAAGTAGGCTGCTCGCCTGGAATGATACCCACTGGATTGTGTACAGTAGGAAGACCTGAAAAATTGGCACACATGAGCAGCACCATAAAGTTATGGGAAATGGTCGAGAGCATAGCGAGATAACAAGCATTCAATGGGCTGAACAATTTCATATAGTTTCAATTGTGGCACTGTATATTAGACACCATGAACTATCCTTGAGGCAGCTGAATGAACAGGTTTAAGCTACTGGGATGATAGCACCAATGCATGTGATAATCTCAATCAGCATCAGCCTATCACGACCGCCACCGCCACCTCGGTCGTCGCCGCCGCCAGCAGCACCAGCACCAGCACCATCATAACTACCATCATTGGACCACCACAGGGCTGTCATTACCTGTGTGCATTGCCGACGTGAGGATGACATGCATCTGAAACGGCTTCACAGTGGCTGCCACAAACCAAAGAAGAATTTCTGCTGCTCCGCTCCAGCCTGCAGCACCTCACACAGAGCCAGCCTCCTCTCCAGCAGCGGCAGCTCTGGCTTCACCTCCGTAGCAGCCAGGAACACATGGATGGTGCCGGGATCCCTAGGATCGTAGTCCACCCTTGCCGTGTACGGCTTCTTGTTGTTAAAAGAAAATGGTGCCTTCACAGCAGCTACCGACCTAGCCTGGCCTTGAATGTTCAACCCCACATGCTGGAGGCGCATGTCCCCCTGCTGCTTGTCCCGCAGAGTGTTGAATTCAACTGCTATGCTCTGGCTGTCCATTCCACTATACCCCACACTAGATCCACTCCCCAGCTTATCCGTTGCCGAGATGACAAAGGCAAATCCTCCGCCACACGTGCGGCCCGACCGGGGCAAGAGTGAAGGTGAAGTTGACCTGGAAGGCCAGTTGCACTCCACGCCCCGACACTGCCTGCCCTGCCTCGTACACAAACAGCGTCACCGGAGTTGTGGTGAACTTCCCCCCCATCTCCTTCAGTGTCCCCTTGGTGAGCATAGTTGTGGGTGGGATGATTGGCTGGATGATTGAATAGCTGCTAATTACGCCTGAACTCACGGAAGGCAGTCAAGGGTGAGAATGAAAGTGGAAAACCCCAGTCATGAGGTGAGGACTCTTCAAACAGGTATATGGACCATCCGGTAAAGAAAATGGTGGCAATGTTCAAATAGGATGGGGCAGTCCAGTCGCTGTACCTTGTGCTTATGGAACTGTACAGGAAAATTATAGCGAGGTTACAAATGTTTTTGCAAAATGTGTGCAAATGTCATAAGGCACGTGGTCTGCCTCTACATTGGCAGATACACCTTGGGCAGGGTGGCGTACCATGTACATACGCTTGCGTATGTGCGTGGTATGCTAATACGCTCGGGAATCGTGAAATTACTCCCGGGCAGCCCTTTTTTTTTTATCAAAACCGACTTGCAACGGTTTTGTGACCTCGCAAATTGTTACCCTGATCGCGCTCATCGCTTACCGACTTATGAAATTCAAATTTCAGAATCCAAACCTCCCACCACCCCAACCAAACACCACCCCACCAAACCTCTCGTATCCAACCACCCTCACAAATGTTCAGCACATATCGTCTGAACATGTCATGTTGACGAATTCCTATGTTTCAGTCGATTCTCCTTCTCAATTTCATTCCCGCAGCTCTCTTCTCCCGTTTTTCCTCAGGTAGTCTACCGTTCAGTAGTCGCACGCCATGGCGTCAAACTCCACCCTTCCTACTGCGACGAGCAATGTAGCCTCTGTTCACGCGTCTAGTCGTAAAATCAACAAGGAGCCTGTTGAGGCTGGCCTTTCGAACCCCACTTTGAAACATTTTCTTATTCCGTAACACGCCAAAGGCACTCCCAAGATGTGTAAGTTTTGTGACTTCCAGTTTGAGGGCGGGACCATTCGCTGCGCAGTTCACCTTGCCAAATGGAAAGGGCAGGAGAAACGCGCTGTCAGGCTTTGCAAGAGGGTGTCCCCGCAGTCAGTGAAAAAGTGCGCGCCATGTATGTGGAGAAGGGGGGAAAAAAAGGCTCTAAACGAGGGCCACTGCAGCACTTGACTCTGCGCTGGGCACGGTCACTGGTTCTTTGGAAAAGAAGGGGAAGATAACAGACTTCTTCAGTGATGAGGCGACGTGCTCCAAGAAGGACGCGGATAACGCCCGCAGCCTTATGTTCGTGACGCTGAAACTTCCGCAGCGCATCGCGGATGACCTGGTCTTCCGCTACGCGGTCCAGTGCATTGCGTGCGCTGAACAAGGGTACGTTCCCCCCAAGAGGCGCTTCATTGGAGGGGCGGGCTTGAAGAAAGTGCGGCAGAAAATGGAGGTCACGCTCGCCCCCGTTGTCGGGAGCTGGAAGCGGGATTGGGTCACCGTGTTGTCGGACATGATGACCGACCGTTGTGGCTGCCCGCAGGCCAACGTGCTCCTTGTCAACAACTCCGGCGCAGTTTTCGAGCAGGCGGTCAACTGCCACAGGGAGTCGAAGACCGGGGAGTACATCGCCAGCCTTCTCCGCCCCGTCATTGATAAGGCGGGGTCGGAGAATGTGGTGGCAGTCTGCACCGATGGAGGCAGCAACTACGCATCGGCAGCCAAGAAGATCGCGGGCACATTGCCGCATATCGAGCATGTGCCATGTGCCACGCATGTTTTGTACCTGATGATGGAAGATGTGGGCAAAATGGGATGGGCGAAGGGGCTCGTGGAGAAGGCCGGGGAGATGATTACCTTTGTGCGCAACCACCACGTCACCAATGCTTTCATGAAGAAGGGGGGGGGGGGGGGTGGGGAACAGGTGCTCAAGCCCGCTGGGACCAGATTCGGTACATAGTACATAGCTGTGTCTTGGCTATGCGAGGTGAGGAGTGGGCTGGCGCAGATGGTTCTCAGCGACGAGTGGAAGGGGTGGGCAGTGGGGTAGAAGAAGACTGCAGCCAAGACCTTCAGGGCTGCCGTGATGGATGAGGAGTGTTAGGGGGTGGCAGCGTTCTTTAACTCTCTCATGGAGCTGCCATTCAAGGCCATGCGGGCCACAGACTCCACGGCTAAGGGGATGATGCGTAAGCTATATGGCATCATGCTACAACTTACCGAAGACATCAATGACAAGCTCGACAATGCAGCCGACTTCTTGACTCGGGCAGGAAGGGCAGAGATCACCCAGATTGTGAAGGACAGATGGGACAACTCCCTTGCCTGCTCCATGCATGTGGTTGGCCGGATCCTAAATCCGGCCAACCAGGTGGAGGGTTTTTTCAGGAACGATGTGGAGTGCACACGGGTGTTCAAGGACTACATTGAGCGCCATTATGACAATGCCACCTTCAGGCGTGGTAAGAATGGCGCCCCTCGATGCGCCTCACTTGTGCTGCAGGAGGCATTGCTGGCCTACATCAACATGCAAGGCAGTTTTTGTTATGTGATGCAATCATATGCAATCACGTCTGTCCGCCTCCCATCATATGTTCGTGCGTTGCATGTGTGGTGTGAGCGTGTGCAAGAATTTGTGTCTTGGTGTGGTTGGGTTTTCCTGAGTGTGTGTGCATGTTATTTGGCTTGAGCAGATACATGAGATGACTGCTCTGATCAAGGGTTTTCTGACAAACCAAGAATCGTCGCGATCGGAGCACGGACGAGAAAGTTACGAACGTTTTCGTATGCTTTTTATACTTTGTAGAGACGACTTTGGGAGTTTGCCTAGTGACTCAATATGGGGAACAGACTTTTGGGGGTTGGGAAATTCGTCACCATTACTGTAGATGATGCGAAGTGGTTGGGAGAAGCCAAACCACGTTGGCAAGTGTGGCCAAGTTGGGGTGAGGTGGATTGTGGAGGTTGGGAAAGTGACAAATGTCAAAGTTGGAGTGCCTATAGAGAGGGGAATTGTGTGGTATGGGGTTTCCTTGGTTGGGAACTCCCTTGGGACCTTTCCTCTTGTCCTCCTCTTCCCTCCTACCTGGTTTATTTCTACTCTAACTTTCTTGTGTGGTGCTCAATGAGTTCATTGTGATTGAGTTAAGTTTCTGTGGCAGCATACCCACTAGTGCGCCGGAATTCATAACTCGAGAAATACTTCACCTTTCTGTGTGATTCAAATTGGGAACTGTAGCCATGATCTAATGCTACAACATATCCAATATAAGTTTTAACAGTGAACTTTTCGTCGACGGCGTTTCTTGTGAACTCGAAATTTCTGTCCAGAAATTAGGTCCAACGATTTTGTGATATTTCGGCCCCTAATGTTCATAGACTCCGTCCTTAGTCTCTAAAAGTTTTGGCAGGCCGGGCATCATTTTTTGCAAGGGAGGTAGTGAAGAAGGGGGAGGTGATCATGGTGCAGTGGTGGTCGTGGCACAGCACAGCTTGCCACCCTAGCATGTCGGGTGCTCACTCAGCCCATCTCGGCTTCCCCATGTGAACGTGCTGGGCGCAGTGGGAAGGCGTCCACACTGCCCGCTGCAACCGGCTCGGGTCCGCCAAGTATGCGGACCTCGTCTACATTTCGCACAATTGGTACAAGGATGGGACAGCACGGTTGTGCCCGGTAACATCCCCGATGCCCATGGACGAGGAGGAGGATGAAATGCTGGGGGCGGAAATAGAGGATTCAGTTCTGGCGGATGAGTATGGGGAAGGGATGGTGGTGGAAAAGCCCCGCAAGGAAATAGGTTATGGGGAAGCTAGCTAGCTAGCTAGGTTATGGGGATGTATGGGGAGATGTACCCCCAAAAAATGTATTTGTGGATATTAATGAAATAAATTTTTGACATGTGTTTTTGTGAGACCTCACCCCACACCACCCCCCCCCCCCCCCCCCTTTGAAACAGGCCTTTTAGCCCTGCCCGGGGAAAGTTTTTCCTGCCCGCCCAGCGTATTTTTAAGTATCAGCAGTATGCAAGCCATGGCGCATTACGTATATACCCAGCATTTCATACGCTAGCGTATTATACGTGATACGCTTATTTGCGAACTTAGGTCTTCCGGCTCTAGTTTGAATATGAATATTAGTATTATTATTGCTATTACTATTATTATTATTATTGTAATTATCTCTTTGAGGAGCATACCTTCTGAAATGCAGGTGGTTCTTCCATACTTGATGAATCTTGCATCGCACAAATAGCTCGTAGACATGCTGATCCGGTCTGGAGCGCATATTCCTCTACCACCACAAGGAGCAGTGGCAGCAGTACTTTCACCAGTAGAGGTTGAAGTCGCATCAGAGGAGATGCCATAGGACGCATTGCATGCTGCTTCCATTCGTTGCACCACCAGGGAGCAGCCAGAGGGCAGTGTGAAGCAGTTGACGTCGAAATTGCGAAGAAGAAGAAGTTGCTGGAGACACGCAGGCTGCTGATGGTGGGCAGCGTGATGGGCCCTGTGAGGTGGTTGCGGGAGAGGTCGCTGGGAAGGGAGGGCGAGGGTTGGGGAAGAGGAAGGGAGATTTCATGCGAAGGATTCGGAACTTAGGATGTTGAGGAGGACGAGGTTTATAAAAGCACGCTTGGACAATGTTCATTCAGCTTCTTACCTTGGCTAGCTGCTTGGTGTATTGTATCTAATCACATCACCAAGGTATCCAAATAAATGACCGCTGCAATGTGTAAGGCTCTGCTGTGCAAAACTTCGATCCAAATTCCATATTATTTCAACAGGATCAACGGTACAGGTGGTTTTAAGGCGGTTGATGCAGGTAGCTGTATGTACCCTACACAACCACGTCTTTCCAGTGTTCTTGAAGCTCACAGCTTGCAGGTTGAGAGATCAATGTACGTATGCATGTTTATACAATGGGTCCATAATCAGAACTATAGGAGGTGGTGCGCATGGCATTGTGGCTTATAGATAGGTGAGGGTTGTGAGCTTGGTGAACGTGCTCGGGATGCGACCATACAGCTGGTTGGAAGCAAGCGACCTGGTGCAAAATTGTGGTAGAAGCATGCACCATCAAGGTTGAAAAACAAAAATACGTTGATGGTATGCTAGACATGTACGTTACTTCGATGAACAGCAATGCAGTATTTGACAAGTACTGAGGAGAGCACACAGGCCTGGCTTCTTAGCCATGGATGGAAGAGATGTATCCTGCAGCAAGAAAAGAGCACACAGGAACTCAATGGAGGCATGTTCGTGCGTGACATGTGACATTCGGTGGTGTGTGTGCATGGAGAAGAGGTGAGATGTTGGGGGCATGATCTGTATTGGCTTATAAGTAACCCAGCCGGGAAAGGTCCCCGATGGTCACAGGAATTGTTCCAGTAAGAAAATTGCGCTGGAGTCCAATGGAAGAAACAGGCATGAAAAAAATACATATGAAGATAAGGACGCACTTGTTGAACAAGAAAGCAGCTGGCAAGTCACGAAATGACAATGAGCAGTACGTAGTAGATACGCTTAAGAGCAATTCACGGGGGACATTCTGGTGAACCCAAGAGCCGTAAGTGTAGCTCCTGTGTGTCGTGCCACTCTCAGGGCGCCTAGTGGAGACTGTAGTGTGGCCGCCGAAGGCTCCACTAGGTACCCTCGGGAAAAGACCCAGTGAAGCCAGGTGGGCGGCGCAACCAGATCTCCTCGTGAAGGCTGCCTTGCAGGAAGGCTATGAAAAAGTCAAGTGAGTGAAGTTCGTTGTCACACTGTGGTGCAACGTGCAGTAACACCCGAAGAGTAGTCATCTTTGGGGCGGGGGAGAAGGTCTGTAGGAAGTCGACCCACTGTTGCTGGCTTAAGGTTCGTGCAATGTAACGCACCTTGAAGGTAGGCGAGGAACCCGGTGGTCGCTTCACCCTGAAAATTCACATGCCATCAACTATATTCGCCCCAGAAGGGGGAACTGCGTCCATGGCTATCCGCCACTGAGAGGGTTTGGTTGGGTGCACACCTAGATCCCAACCAAACCCAAACGTAATCTCCAAGCAATCTCCAACCCACCAATTGGAGATTGTCTTGCGATTACTCCCAATCCGTAGCCCCCGAATCCCCTCCCCATCCATTGCTTGCCCATCTTGGATGTACTTAAAAAGCTTCAAGCTCATTACTAATGCATCGGTTTTAAGCTTAAGTTGTGACAAGGATGTCCAGTGCAACCGGGTTTCCCTCAGGGCAAAGCAGCATGGCAGCAAGATGAGGTACAGCAGCCGTGTGGCACCCGAGCTCAAACTGCCAGTTCTCAAGGACGTGACTGCGAAGGGCAAGCTCACCCCCGACGGACGGAGGACATTCAAACACAGAACCAGTAACAAGACTCCCAACGTAGACGAGACGACATGAAAGCAAAGTCAACGAGCTTAGTGAATAAAGCAGACACAGGAGCAGACTCAAAGGAAGGGTCAGTGACAATTGTTGCCAGAACACGTGTGATTGTGTGACTAGCAGCACGAGCAAGGTCAGACTCAGGGTCGGGAACGTAAAGAAGAGAGGACGCTGTGGGGGACGGCAGAGCAACATGCTGTGGAACAGAGGAAGGACGAAGTGCCCTAGTGTGTGTGCCGGGAATAGGTGGAGGACGAATACGACGAGCTCGTCAAACAGGGCAAACAGGTGAGGCAGGACAAGACACAGGCTCACGACGCTCTGTTAGGGAGTCTGTCAGCTCAGTGTAAGGAGAAGGAGCAGACAGTGGGGAGTTAAGCTATAAATGTGGCTGTGACAGGTCAAGCGAAGGACACAGGAGAGGAGGAGTAAGGCGGCATAAAGACAAAAGACTGAGAACCTGGCGAAGCACCAAGTTAGGTGGTGGCAGCGACGACTCTGGCTGAGGCCCGAAAAACGGTCGCCGCTGCGCAGTACCTACAATACCAGAACCTCCAGCCCCAGCATCTTTAGCACCTCTTGCTCTAATACTGCCAGCTCTAGTGCCTCCAGGACTGCCAGCTCCAGTGCCTCCAGCACCAAGAACTTCAGCACCAAAACATTCGGTACCAACAACTCTAGTACCTCCTGTATCGCCAGCTCCAGCACCTCCGGTACCTACAGCACCAGTACCTCCAGTACTAGCACCTCCAGCACCAACACCTCCAGCACCAGCGCCTCTATCACCTCTAGCTCCAGTACCTCTAGTACCAGCACCTCCAGCACCAGCACCCCTTGCACGTCGGTAAGTTATCAATTCATCGCGGAAAAAAAAAAAAAAAACAAAAAAATGGTAAAAATACATAAAAGATTAACAAAATTACGTCAACGCCTACTGTCAACGGGGGCTGTGTGCTGGCCCTGTCCTCGCTTGGGCGGAGCCGACTCCGTGGTCGGGTGTGAGGGGAGCAGCCGACTTGCAGCAGTGGGCGAGCTGGTTGACGAGGAAGTCGACCTACGGAGGGCGTCAACTTGGTGACGCCAACTTGTGGCAGCCGACTTGGGTGGTCGGCTAACAGGATTGCTGGTCGACCTGGTAGTTGGCTGACCAGGCCTGCTGGTCGACTTGGTGGTTGGTCGACTAGGCGTGATGTCGACCTGGTGGTCGACCTAACAGGGTGGTCGACGAAGGAAAGGCCGGCGTCGACCTCGATTCAGGACGCCGAGCAGCTGGGCGTCGAGTAGCAGGGTGTCAACTTGGTGACGCCGACTTCGGGTAGCCGACTTGGGTGGTCGGCTGACAACTGTGCTTGTCGACATAGAGCTGGTCGACCAGGAGTGCTGGTCGACATGGAGCTGGTCGGCCAGGGGCGTGGTCGACCTGGTGAGGTCGACTTGGGGTGGTCGTCGACTTGGGAGGTCGACGGGCACATACAGGAGCAACTGGTCGACGTGGTTGCCCGGTCGACCAGGTTACCTGGGTGACGAGGTTCTGCGGAGGAGTGCGACGGTCGCCCAAGCGAAGTTGGCGAGTCTGACTTCGGTGGTGGTATCCGAGGTCGACGTGGCTGATCATATGCAGTCGTCAGTGCCAGGTTGACTTGGTGTGTGCGCTGTGCAGGTGACAAGGCTCGGCACGCCAATCATCTGCGAGCAACTGCGAAGCTGGTGCGATGCGGTACTGTGAGAGCTACGCTGGTACGCCGTCGACCTGCAGCGTTGGCACGACGTCAACTTTGCACTGCTGGAGCGCGGTCGACCAAGTCGTGCTGGAACGTGGTCGACCATGCTATGGTGGCAGTCGACCGACCTGAATGCTAGCTCTGATGTAGTCTTGCCATGCCAACTTCTTTGTACCATTGTTGTCAACTTTCTCTAGTGAAACTCTTGTCAAATTGCCTTGTGAACTAGCAAGCAGTGTGTGCACTAGGAAAACGACTAAGGAACAACGAACGCAGAGATCACACTAGCATCCGTGCCTAGCCCGCAGTCTAGCTCCCGTTATAGTAGTTATCTCCGCACCTACAGCTCTAGGACCTCCAGCACCAGCACCTCCAGCACCAGTGCCTCCAGTACTGCCACCAGAGCAGCCTCGTCTAATAACCCACTCACGAAGCTGCTGCGGCGAGAGAGTCTCTTGCGAAGGAGGCTGCTGCTGCTGTCAAACCCCAGAACCTCCAGCAGGAGCACCCACGAATCCATCACCACTAGGACGCTCAACTCCCCCAAAATCAGCACCCCCAGACTCAGCACCCCTAGAACCAGCACCCCCAGAGTCAGCGCCCCCAAGACCAGCACCCCCAACCCTGCGCAGATCGGTGATTTCAAACAACGATCGGCACAGATCTGCGATTTTGTACGTCGATCTTCCCAGATCTGCGATTTTGCTGGTTGATCTAA